TCGTCGACAACCAGCAGAAAGTACCGCTCACCGCCCTGTCCACGAACGCGGGCTGGGCCCCACACGTCCAGGTGGAGGGTCTGCAAGGGAGCCTCTGTCGGGGGAAACGAGGAGGAGTAAGGAGCGGCGCGCTGCCGCCCCTCGACACAAGGAAGGCAGGGCGGCGCAGGTGAGGCAGGGAGGGGAGGGAGAGACCTGGGAAGACCAGACACTAGGAGGCGACGGTGCATGCCACGGAGACGTGGCAAGGAGGGGTGACCTAGGCGGTGGTGCCAGAGAAGAGTCTGGTGGGACAGGGAGCGATACGAACAAGGGGGGGCTACGTGACCTGACGCAGACACCTGACCAGTAGCAGCTACCTGAGGGGACGCAGTAGTCAGTGTGTAAAGACTCGACCCTGGCCGACGGGTGAACTAGGCCAGGTGACGGCCAGTCCGGGAGCACGTACAGATCACCACACGCTGTCCTCCAGGGGTAAAGGTATCAACCCATGCATCCTGGAGGAATGCGTTGCTCACCAGGTTCGTAAAGAACGAGGGGAGGTGAAGACCTGATAGTGAGCCAGACGGAACCGCCGGGCACGGAAGCACAGTGGAGGACCGTGTAAGAACTGGGCCCCCTGAGGGGTCAGCCGGAGACACTGCAACAGGTGCAGGGAGTGGCGTGAGTGCCATACTGTCGCGAAAGAAACAGCGGGAAGCACCTGAGTCAAGCGTGAAGGTGTGCAAGGCCTCAGCAGGCGCAGTACCTGAGAGAGCAGACTCGCTAGCACCTAAGCCAGCAGCCTCACTAGCACCTAGAGCAGCAACCTCTATACCGGGGTCGTACTGCACACACAGGTAATAGTCACCCTCAGCACCACCAGGCAAAGCATACATAGCAGTAAGGATGGCGTCATAGTCCAAAGCAAAGACATCAACGCCCGACCTAAGCAGCTCAAGCCAGTGGGGGAGCTCAGCCTCGTCGCCAAACTCTGCGTGCCAGGCGTCACTCAAATAGGCGAAGCAGCGGGACTGTGCGTGACTTGGTGTCCCACAGGTCTGACCAGCTCGACGGCCTGTGCGAATGACGTACGGGCAGCGACCATGACTCGGAGACGTCCCACGTCGGTAAAGCCACTCACGAAGCTGCTGGAACGTAAGAGTCGGACGCCGCCGTAGCTGCATCTGGCCACCGCCAGAAACTCCGCACCAAACAGCGCCACAGTGACTGCTACTACGGCCGCCACCACTCCCACTGCTGCCACCACCGCCGTCACCACTCCCACCGCTACTACAGAGTGAAGTCATGGCGGGCAAGCTAGGAGGAGCGCGACCTCTAGGGCAGTACGGAGTGAAGGAAGTAGCACGAGGAGTAGCAGCAGCAGAAAGAGCAGCAGAACGGCTCGGTGAAGCTAGGCTGCATCGCCTCCAGCACTCCTAGCAGCACCTCCACCAGCAGCAGCAGTAGCACGAGCAGCAGGGCGGATCGATTCGGGTAGGGCGGCTCGGCTCGGCCTGGGTGGCGCGGGCAGCAGTGCGCGCGCTGTGCAGGGCAGCAGGGCGCGACGCGCGTGCTGCAGCAGGGCGCGACGCGCAGGGCAGCAGGGCGCGACGTGCGGGCTGCAGCAGAGCGCGACGTGCGGGGCAGCAGCGCGCGACTCGCGGGCTGCCGTAGGGCGCGACGCGCGGGGCAGCAGGGCGCGACGCACGGGCTGCAGCAGGGCGCGACGCACGGGCTGCAGCAGAGCGCGACGCGCGGGGCAGCAGCTCGCGACTCGCGGGCTGCCGTAGGGCGCGACGCGCGGGGCAGCAGCGCGCGACGCGCGGGCTGCCGTAGAGCGCGACGCGCAGGGCAGCAGCGCGGGTGTAGGGCATGTCAGAATCCCAACCACTAGACCATTGGGATAAAAGGGCTTGTTTCAGTAGCGGGTCAGTGCGCCCATAACCCCCCAGGCTAACATGCCTGTAACCCTCCTAGGATCATTCGGGGATCTCACAGTGCAGCTCTACTGACACCCCCCCACACTGGGAGGTCCAGGACTCAGCACAGCGGCAACGGCCTGCATGTGCATACACCGGGATTCGAACCCGAGACCGCTCTGATACCATGTCAGAATCCCAACCACTAGTCCATTGGGATAAAAGGGCTTGTTTCAGTAGCGGGTCAGTGCGCCCATAACCCCCTAGGCTAACATGCCTGTAACCCTCCTAGGATCATTCGGGGATCTCACAGTGCAGCTCTACTGACAGGGCAGGGCGCAGGCGCAGGGCAGGGCGCTGGCGCAGGGCAGGGCGCTGACGCAGGGCAGGGCGCCGGCGCAGGGCAGGGCGCTGGCGCAGGGAAGGGCGCCGGCGCAGGGCAGGGCGCTGGCGCAGGGCAGGGCGCCGGCGCAGGGCAGGGCGCTGGCGCAGGGCAGGGCGCCGGCGCAGGGCAGGGCGCTGGCGCAGGGCAGGGCGCCGGCGCAGGGCAGGGCGCTGGCGCAGGGCAGGGCGCTGGCGCAAGGCAGGGCGCTGGTGCAGGCAGGGCGTGCGCTAGGCAGCGCGACGCGGGGCAAGGCAGGGCGTGCGCAGAGCAGCGCGACGCGGGGCAGGGCAGGGCGTGCGCGGGGCAGCGCGACGCAGGGTAGTGGGGTAACGCGGTAACCGCAGTCGGTCGCTAAGTATGGTGGGCCCGGAAAAAAATAAACGGTCCTACGGACCTACTGCTCTGAAACCATGTCAAGATAGCAAGCAGGAATGAGTGCATCAAATGGATTGTGGGTTACCCCACTAATATTGGGTTGTACCCCACATGGGCTACCCCACTATAGCCTACACACAACTAGCACAGATATGGTTTGACATACCCTACACAGGCTACCCCACTACAGCCTACAACAACTTCTACACATACACATATAATTTGACAGATTCCAACCGAAAATGTTGCTGATGTGAATCAGGGTTTAGCATGCAGGGGGCTGCGGTAAGAACCAAGTTATGAAGGAATAGAAAACGTGCTTTCAGTGAGGTCCGTCTTTCCCGCTAAATTTTGATGATACGGTAGGTGCAGAAATGAGTGTGCAGATTGAAATGAAGACGGATAGAATATAACCACCAAGTTATATTTGAATACCCAGTGACCTAATTGGACAACGTACATTACAGTAACGAGAAATTGGGATTGCGTGTTGGTGGGGTTGTGTTTGTGTTGTGCACTGACGAATAGCACAGCAAGTCAATATGCCACGTGCCCAAGATCTGAGGCTAATTTGTGGCCACTTCGGTTGCCATCTCACACTTTCAGCCTCTAAGGGCGTGGAACATTTTAACGAACACGTCAAATGGTCGAATTTGTGGTTGCTTCTGGCGATTGCGAAGCATTTAGGGAAACCCCACCGTTTGACATGCCCAGTATTCACCCTCACTCGACCGAAAGTCAATGGTATTTCCCGGAGGTTTGCTGTCGCCTACACCTACACTATCCAGAGAAGTGGGACAACGTTTAACTGCGAATGTTACCCCCGAGAGTGTTTTTCATCCCCACTCTACTTGCAAAACACACAACTTTCCGCTCCCTCCGAAATTCCACACCCCTTTCGAATGCTTAAACTGGGATCAGATGTTTTTTCTTAGTGGGGGTGGTTTTTAGTGGGTGCCCCATGTGCTGGCGAACAGAATAGCTTAAAAATCTCGCATCCTTCGCATCTCTGTTACACTCTTCGCATTCGCCAGATCCAACCATACGGGCGACCGTTTGGCATGGTCGTAAAAATGTTCCACGCCCTAATATACAAGGATGCACGTCATCTTGGAAAATACTAGCCACCTCCACCAGGGCTCACTCAGTTATTCGCTGCCCCCATCAAAATGGGTGCTCTTGACATATACTCTTCTGGGCAGAAGAGTTTGCGTCATGACCTGCTCACATAACATATTTTCCGAAATTGTCTCGAAGATTCGAGAAGTGCAACGTTCTTCCTTTGAATGAGAGGCCTTTCTTTTCGAGAGGCTTGTGGAGCCGTCGGATCAAGCATTTGTTTTCTCGCGTCGGGAACATTCTCTAACGGGATTTTCATTTTGAATCTGTGCTGAGTTCGGGGGTCCATGCGAGAAGGGAAGTGCTCTGCGCTGCGGCACCAAAAGTGAGTGTCTGTTCGCGGCGCGATTTTCCAATTGCTCCTCTGCTCTCCCCACCCCAGCTTACCCAACCACCCCACCCAGCCCAACTTCTCTCATGGCAGCACCACCCACCCACCTCACTTCGCCTTCCTCCCGGTTTTGAATTTGAGACTGGAGCAACGAATGCATTGCAGCATTTGAGGTTCATGCACAGGTGTGCATTTCCAACAAGACGCAAGTTGTCAGCAGCAGTCATAAACCTCTCCCTTCAATTTCAGGCCAGACACCACAAGTTCTACCCCAAGGGCGCTTTACCAACGAAGACTTGTCTTATTTGTGTTGGGTGACTGAGACTCCCTTGACCCTTCAACTTCCATACGGCGGAACGACCTTTTCGACTCCATTTCATTGGTTAGGAGAAGCAGACTGGAAGCCCAAGCAGCATCCAGCTTATTTCCGTGGCGATGCGGAAAATCGGATAAAAAACTGTCAAGGCCAGAGTCCTCCACTTCGCTTTCCGCACGCTTCCACCCCTTCCATCTGACACGTCACGCGAGTCAAGTCCCAAAAGTAGTCCCACTCCCACCTAAACACAACGTGTGGTGTGGTGTGCACTTGGAGAACATCTCTCACATCTCGTCGTTTCGAGACCGCGCTTTCTGCCTTCGACCAGTCATACTGTGCTATCTGCTATATTCGTTATCCACAGGTGCGAGATCATCGTCGCTTCATTTCTTCTACCTATCTGAGAGTTTCGAAGTTCGTTTGATCAACGTTCACAACCATTCTACCAGCAGTGCTGCTCGTTCATCACCACAACAAACCCCACATTGCCACAAACCCCCCAATTACGCCTCCTCGTCACTTTAAACTACCACTTAGGAGGCCCGAGCCAGCCGGACCGACTGACCAGGCGTCATGCCAGGCCTGATCAGCATTCTCTCCTCTCAGAGCTCCTCGCGCTTCGCCCACGCCCTCAGCAAGGAGACTCGCGTGTCGACCGCCGAAAATGCGTCCGTCAAGGTTCCTGCGAATCTAGGCCTTTTATTTGGCCCAGCGGCTCCTAGCGCTTTCCAGATGCCCGCTCCGTCTCCCTTTCAACAACACGTTCCTTCTTTCCCGCAGCAATTACAGCACCAGCTGTACCAACTGCCGCTCATGCCGGTAGCACAGCAGTCGATCCCGCGCGGGAGCGATTCGCACGGCATTTCCGCAAATCCCGCCGACCGTTGCGGGCTGCATCTGATTCGCGGCGACGCGTTCGACCTCCGGCCGCAAGACCCGTCGACCACGGCCGTAGTATCTCCCACTGACGTGGCTGGTGACGTGTCGATTTCATCCTCGATTCGCCTAGCGGATCTGATATCCGAGTATTTTGAAGATTTCGATGAGAATGGCGACGCGCTCGACGGCTTGACGACTCTGAGAACAGAGCGCAGCGCGCAGGCGCAGTTCCACGAATCCCGCGCAGGAACAGCAACCTTTCTGCCCGCCACGAACCCCGCGCGCTCGAACCTGGGATCGCAGGGCGAGGAGGCGAATCAACGTCTGTCAGCAGATTATCTGGACATGCAGATGCAACTGACGGAGCAGAGTCAACTTCGCATGGTTCAGGTACGACACCCAAAACCTTGAACCCGAAACCCTCATCAGTCGTCGGTGCTCGTCTGTGTCCTTTATCCCCGCTATAACCATGTGCGCGGCCCGCCTATAAGAAAGCCCCGGATTTCGTGTTTTAACATTTCTTTCTTTCCCTCTTCCTCCGCGCCGCGTGTCTCCTCCAGTCGCTCGCAGCCATGGATGGCCCCGTCGAAAGCGCCCTCTACGCTGACGTCATCTCAGCGATGACCGACGCGCGCGCGTGCCAAGCGAACGACCTGCGCGGGAGCAGCCTAAACGCGGCGGTCGCAGGGCGACTGCGTGCGATGAGGTACGACGCGGCGGTGTGCACGACGCAGTGGGACACCTCGCCCACCATGCCCGAGGGTGAGTGTCAGAACGCGGTATCCGCTTCTCCGAGATTTTGCAGGGGTTTTTGAGAATCCTCGGAATTCGATTCCCGTGTGCGCCTCACTCTTCCTCACCCTTCTTCCTCACGATTCGCCTCGTACGAATTATCTAATTTTTGCGCCAGCGTACCATAAATCTTAACATCCGCCGCCCGTCTCCTGTCTGCCTGTCAACCTCTGCAGGGTCATACGAGTACATTGATGTCCTCGTCTCCGCGGAATCAATCTCCCGCCCGCCCGCATCCGCCTCCCCCTGTTTCACCCTCGTCAGTTCCACCTCCCCCTCTCCAGCCTCCCCCTCGCCCACCTTCACCAGAACCGAACCCCCGACCACCGCCACTCGCTCTTCCCTTACCCCTTGCGCCGCCGCCTGCCCTCCCCCGGACGGCGCTTCCCCCTCCCCCGCTTCCGCCATCCCCCAGCGCTTCATCATCGACCTGGACTTCCGCGCGCAGTTCCAGATCGCACGGCCCACTCGCGAGTACGCGTCCGCGCTCGAATCCACGCCGTTGAACTTCGTGGGGCGGCAGGAGCGGCTGGCGCGGCTGGTGGAGGTGGTATCTGGCGCGATGAGGGGGGCTTTAAGGGCGCAGGGCATGCACATTCCGCCGTGGCGCAAGGGCGAGTATCTTCACGCCAAGTGGATGGCTGCAGTTACCCAGAGAGTCATGTGTGAGGCGACGGGGGTGGAGGAGGGTGAGGGGAAAAAAAGCACGGGAGTAGTGGGCAGGAGGATTGTGGGCGAGGGGATGGAGAGGGGGGGAGGAGAGGTGGGGGATAAGGATACAGGTCCAGTTGTTGGTAGTCGCAATGGTGGCTATGGTGGCAAGGAGTCTCAGACTACAACCCTCTTTACTGTCACCGCTGCTAGTAACACCGCTTACGCCGCCGATGCTGCGACAGCTGCTCCTGCTGCCAGCCCCTTCACAGCTTGTGCCGCCCCGCCGGCACCCACTGCTGCTCCAGCTGGAAGCTTCTACGCATCTTCTGCTCCTGGCATCGCAGGTGCTGGCGGGGCGGCTCACGCTCTGCGCCAGCAGCAGCAAGAGGCCCGTTTGACCAACGCCTTGGGGAACGCTGTTCTCTTCCAAGGCCGCTGTGTCCCCACAAGGCGATTCGCTGCCCTGCACCAGTGTGCCCGAGCAGGGGGGTGGTGAGGCCCCAAGCAAGCATGCATGCCCCGTCACCAGCAGCAGGCAGGGGGGCTGGCCTCCCTCCCTGAGCAGCAGGCTGTGAACCTTAAGCTGCACGCTTACAACAGTGGATGGGTTATGCCGACGGTTTTCATTGCCAGGAGCAGCTCATTCCTGCCAGATGTCCAGCTTGCTGCCGTCGCTGTCCAGTTTGGGATTGCAGTGGACGAGAGGCAGTGGGACACACCATTGTGGGTGTGTGCATGCTACAATTTTGATGCTGAACCAGCCAGCCTGATGCTTTTCCAGGCTGCTGCAATTTTGACTCCAGCTTCTGGTTTCCCCACCAAAGCTGCCAAGTTTTGACTCTAGATTTGTTTTGGAGCTTATACTGTATCTTCCAATGTGTTTTCTACCCTTTATACAAGTTTAGGTAACAAATTCTGGACTTTGAGCTGAGGGATGATGTCATTTGCAGCTAGAGAAGTAGCCACACTACTAGCAGCTCCTATTGCACACACACAAGTCTAGCCCTCCTGCTGTTGCTCTGCTCCGGTCGTTCCAACTTGTTGGGCTGAGAAAAGCCCTTAGGATCTTTTACAGGGATGAACTCTGAGTAGGACTGTAATAGCGGAAGCGTTTAGTGAAGAGATTGTGAACCACCTTGCGCTAGTATGTGAGGGCAAAGTAAGTTAATTAAGACAAAGAGATACAAGATTATATAAGAGTACAAGGAATATGAAGGGATACGGTTATAACTGTTTTACTGTTGCGGTTCGATACAGTGACGACTCGGGCAACTGCTCTGTAGCGAGTCAGTTGTGTGTCCTAGCTGTCGCACTGTATTTGTCAGGTCAAAGGTCGCTGACCTTTGACTTTCGCGTAACCTCCAGCGGTTACTTCAACCTCCGAGGGTTGACTCGCTGGTGCCTCGATATGCTTTGCTTCGCTTGTGTCTTGGTGTTTCGACACGACAGAGGCGCTTAAGACTGATTGTTTCCAACACTCCCCTTCGCTTCTGGAGTGTCGCTGACGTGGCTCTGTCCAGTCAGCAGCATGCAGTATTCGAACTTCTGCTTTCCGAGCTTCTTGGTCAGGTAATCAGCTGCCATCTCGGACGTGGGACAGTATGACAGCTCGAGCCTTCCTTTCTCGATCTCGTCCTTCACGAAGAAATATCGCAGGGCGATGTGTTTCGTCCTGTTCGCGAAGCCGTTCTTGTTGGCGATGCGAATTGCCAACTGGTTGTCGCAGAACAGAGTGAAGCTGGGTAACTGAGCCAGCTTCGCTTCTTCCAGCAGTTCGCGAAGGTAAAGTCCTTCCTTGGTGGCTGAACAGAGTGCAATATATTCTGCTTCAGCTGACGAGAGAGCGATTAATTCCTGCTTGCTCGACTGCCAAGAGATAGGTCCGATAGGTTCGAGGCGGTAGATGTAGCCAGTGCGAGAGCGCCTGTTGTCGGAATCGCCAGCGTGATCGGCGTCGACGTAGCCGATTAACTTAGGTGGCGTAGTTGCGTTCTTGTAGTAAGTTAGACCAATCGTCGGGGTGCTAATGAGGTAATGAAGAGCGCGGTCGAGTTCTACTAGATGTTCCGCTTCGGGCCTCTTGAGGTAGGTGGCGAGTTGACTTGCAGAGTACGATAGATCTGGGCGGCAGGTGACAGCTGCGAAGAGAAGGCAGCCCAGCTTTCTCTGGTAGTCGCGTATGCCGGCGGGCTTGAGCAGAGCGGAGCCTTCTTTGTTGTTTCCTGTCGTGTAGCGGTACGGTGTGGAGATAGCAGTTGGTGTGAGTGCGAAGCGCTTGGCGATGGTGTCGGCGTATTTCGCAGCGCTGAGGTAGATGGCGTCTTCCTCTTCCCGGATGTTGAGCCCGAGGTACTGTGTAACGGTAGATGAGACTGTCAGTGTGAGATCCTGCTGCAGCTCCCCTTCGAACCAGGTGGTGACGCTGTCGGTTGAGCCGATGTAGAGGAGATCGTCTACGTAGACGATTAGCAGGATGTAATCTGCGCCTTTCGTGAGTCGGTACATCCCCTGATCGTGTGGTAATTGCTTGAAGCCGATGCGAATGAGGCGGGCGTGCAGGTACTGCTGCCATAGCCGCGGAGCTTGCTTGATCCCGTAGAGCGACTTTAGCAGCTGACAGACTTGGTTGGGCTCCCCGTTGGTACCGTGCGGTAGTTCCACGAAAATTTCTGCGTCAACGGGTGCGTAGAGAAATGCGTTCTCGACATCGATTTGCCGTAGCTTCTTTTTCTTCATGGCGGCAATCGCGAGAAGGATTCGGAGCGAAGTGTGTCGGCTGACCGGAGCGAAAGTTTCGGTGAAATCTCGCCCGTGTTCTTGGTCGAAGCCGCGCACGACCCAGCGTGCCTTGAATTTGTCGATGGTGCCGTCGGCCTTCGTCTTCACGCGGAAGACCCATTTTCCGGTGAGAATGGTTTTGTTCCGTGCCACACTGATGGGAACGATTTTCCAAGTGTTGCGCTCCTCTAGTGCCTTTAATTCCCTGTCCATGGCTTCGCGCCATTTTTCTTTATGTTCCCCCCCCAGAGCCTGCTGAACCGTGGCAGGCTCTTTAGGAATGACCGTGCCGTGGACTGCGGTGACGAGCCCGAGTATCTGGAGTCCACTCTGTGAAGAAATGAGGAATGAATTGACTAAGGGAAAGTTGGGTACAAAAGCAAACCCTAGAAAACTGTACCCCATATGTGCTACCCCACTATAGCCTGCAGTAGCTATGTCATATAAATCTGACACACCCCCATAGGCAAAGTGGGGGAGAACAAGGGGTCACAAGACCAGTCAAGCAAAGCAAAGCAAGCTCAGGGTGGATCACAAAGTCACCACACATTCCGAGCACAAGTTCAAGGCCACAAGGCCAGTTCACATGCAGGATTACATATATATATAAGGCTAGACAAGCAAGAGCAGGTGTATATATATATGCAACAGTACAAACAAGGTCAAGGGGTGAGCAAGTGAGGCAAGGTAGGCACAAGACCCAGCTGAGTACAGAAGCGCTGATGATCACAAGGCGCAAGTGCCTTGGTGAAGATATCAGCAGTGTTGGCCTCAGAGGCCACGTACGCAAGCCGTAGCTGACCACGCTGCTGTAGCTCACGAGCAAGGAAGTAGCGGAGAGCAATGTGCTTCGTTCTGTGCTCCAGTCTCTGCTCTCGACACAAGGCCAGCATGGCCTTGTTGTCTACGTACAGCACTGGAGGAGAACGAGGCGGCTCTCCGAGGTCAGTCAGCAGGTAGGTGAGCCAGCGAAGCTCCTATGCAGCCATGGCCCCGGCGTAGATCTCAGCCTCACAACTGGAGCCGAGAACAGAAGACGAGCGGGTAGCCCGCCACGAAACAGAGCCGGAACCAAGGCTGAAGGTGTAACCCTGTGACGACCGCTGCGTAGCCTGGTCGTCAGCCCAAGAAGCGTCTGCGTGCCCAGTGAGGACCACTGGACTCTGCCCTCCAAGCACAAGCCCCATGCCCGACGTACTGCACAAGTAGCGCAACACCCTCTTCGCTGCAGCCATGTGCTCCGGTCTGTGTCTCCCAGGAGTAACATAGCGTGCAAGAATGCTAAGAGGGTATGCAAGGTCAGGTCGTGTGCAGGTCATCAGGTACATGAGGCAGCCAACAAGCTCTGGGTACGGGCCACTCGACTCTACGGACTCATCCGAAGGCAGAGCTGAGAGCGAGTGGCGAGTAGGCAGAGGAGTGGCCTGAGGCGAGGAGTACGTGAAGCCGAAGCGCTGAAGGACCTGCTGCACCATGTGTGACTGAGTCAGGGTAACGGTGCGGCGTGCTCTGTCCCGGGTGATCTGCAAGCCAAGGTAGCTGCGCAGTTCACCCAGGTCTGTGCACGTGTGTCTCTTCTGCAGCTCGGACTTCACGTGGGCGAGTCCAGCAGTGTCAGCTGTGGCGAAGACCAAGTCGTCGACGTACACGAGGATGTAGAACGGCGGCAAAGAAGTGTCGGTGCGCAGAAACAGCGACGGGTCGGCAGTAGAGGGAGCAAACCCAAGAGCCGCAAGTGTAGTCCTCAGTGTGTCGTGCCACTCACGCGGTGCCTGGCGGAGACCGTAGACTGGCCGCCGGAGGCTCCACTGGGTGCCAGGAGGAAAAGACCCAATGAAGCCAGGTGGGCGACGCAGCCAGATCTCCTCGTGCAGGCTGCCCTGCAAGAAAGCAGTGCTGAAGTCAAGAGAGTGCAGCTCGTAGTCGCGGTGAGCAGCTATGTGCAGCAGTACCCGAAGAGTGGTCATCTTCGGGGTGGGAGAGAAGGTCTGAAAGTAGTCAACTCCCTGCCGCTGACTGAAGCCACGAGCCACGTAACGCGCCTTGAAGACAGGCGGAGAACCCGGCGGCCGCTTCACCCTGAAAATCCACATGCCACTGACGATGTTCGCCCCAGGCGGGGGAACCTCGTCAACGTAGGTGCCTGTGGACTTCCAGGAAGCCATCTCTGCGTCCATAGCTGCCTGCCACTGAGAGGAGTAGGGACCCTCTATCGCCTCCGCGTAAGAGCGCGGAGTCGGGATGTCAAGTGCATCCGGGTCTCCCTCAGGGGTAAGCAGTACGGACACGAGATGAGGTGAAGCAGCAGCCAAACACTGGAACCCCTCCTGCCTGTCCTCAAGGACGTCCGTGCCAAGGGCACACTCACCCCCGACGGACGGAGGACAGACAGACTCAGACTCAGCAACAAGACTAGCAGCGTAGTCTAGACGACAGCGAGCAGCAAAGTCGACGAGCTCAGTAACTAGGGCAGACGCAGCAGTGGACTCAAAGGAAGGGTCAGTGACAACAGTAGCAAGGAGACGCGTGACAGTAGGACTGGCAGCACGAAGAGAGTCCGACTCCGGGTCAGGAAGAGCAGGAAGAGAGGACTCAGGAGGAGAAGGCAAAGGGGCACGCAGAGGAGCAGTGGACGGACGCAGAGACATCCGGTGCGTGCCAGGGACAGGAGGAGGACGCTGACGCGAACCACGACCACTAGGGCGAGCAGCACGGACA